TCTATCTATCTATCTATCTATCTATTATTATTAGTATCTATTTTATCTATCTATCTATCTATCTATCTATTATCTATTCTATCTATCTATCTATCTATCTATCTATCTATCTCTATCTATCTATTATCTATCTTATCTATCTATCTATCTATCTTTCTATCTATTTTATCTATTATCTATTATCTATCTATCTATCTATCTTATCTATCTATCTATCTATCTATTATCTATCTATCTTATCTAATCTATCTATTATCTATCTATTTATTATCTATTATCTATCTATCTTATCTATCTATCTATCTATTATCCTATCTATTATCTATCTATCTATTTATCTATCTATCTATCTATCTATCTATTCTATCTATCTATTTTAATCTATCTATTATTCTATTTTCTATATATCTATCTATCTATTATCTATTATCTCTTATCTATCTATCTATCTATTTTATTCTATATCTATCTATCTATCTATCTATCTATCTATCTATCTATTATCTATCTATCTATCTATCTATCTATCTATTATCTATCTATTTTTCTATTTTTTTCTATCTATCTATCTATCTATCTATCTATCTATCTATCTATCTATCTCTTACTAAATAGATTTCCTGAGTCCTTCCTTACAATTAGAAAGACGTCATCAGGGTTTATCCCCTTTATGTCAGGGTTTCTCTAACAGTCCTCCCTTATATCAGTATCCCGATCAGAGTTCCCCCTTACACATCAACTGTCCCCAACAGAGCACCCCCTTACATCAACTGTCCCCATCAGAGCACCCCCTTACATCAACTGTCCCCCATCAGAGCACCCCCTTACAATCGACTGTCCCCATCAGAGCACCCCCTTACATCAACTATCCCCATCAAAAGTGCCCCTTACAATCAACTGCCCCCATCAAAGTGCCCCTTACAATCAACTGTCCCATCAGAGCGCCCCTTACATCAACTGTCCCAATCAGAGCGCCCCCCCCTTACATCAACTGTCCCCATCAGAGTTCCCCCTTACATCACCTTTCCCAATCAGAGTGCCTCCCATTACATCAACTGTCCTAATCAGAGTGACCCCCCTTACCATCCACTGTCCCCCATAACGAGTGCCCCCTTACATCCACTGTCCCCATCAGAGTTCCCCTTAACATCAACTGTTCCCCATCAGAGTGCCCCTTACATCAACTGGCCCAATCAGAGCAACGCCCCTTACATCAACTGACCCATCCATAGTGACCCGCCTTAGATCAACTGGTCCCCGATAAGAGCCCCCGCCTTACATCAAATGTCCTCCAACATAGCCCCCCTTACATCAACTAGTCCCCATCAGAGTTTGCCCCCTTACATCAACAGTCCCCATCAGCAGTGCCTCCATACATCAACTGTCCCCATCAGAGTGCCCCCTTACATCACTGTCCCCATCTAGAATGGCCCGCTTACATCAAACTGTCCCATCAGAGTGCCACTTCCAACAATCATACTGTCCCCATCATCTATTCCCCCGCATACATCCACATGTCCCCAACCAGAGAAACCCCAAACAACAACTGCCCCCAATCCATAATGCCCCCTATCCATCAACATCCCCCATCATAATGCCCCCATAACATCAACTAGCCCCCCATCAGAATGCCGCCCAAACATCAACTGCCACCCATCAGAAATGCCCCCTTGTCACATTCAACTGGCCCCCCATCATAAAGCCCCCTTACATCCACAACTGTCCCATCATCAGATCCGCCCCCTCTTACATCACAGCCGCCGCCCATCCAGAATAACCCCCCTTACAATCAACTGCCCCTAATCAGAATGCCCCCTTACCTCAACTGCCCAACTGGCCCCCTATCAGAAATGCCCCCTTACATCGACTGTCCCCATCCCCAGTCAGTGTGTGCCCCCCTACAATCAACTGTCCCCCGATCAAGTGTGCCCCCTTACATCAACAGACCCCATCAGTGTTCCCTCCTACATCAACTGCCCCATCAGGGTGCCCCCCTACATCAACTGTCCCCATCACTGTGCCCCCCCTTACATCAACAGTCCCCTATCACTGGTGCCCCCCTTACATCAACTGTTCCCCATCACTGTACCCCCCTACATCAACTGTCCCCCATCACTGTGCCCCCCACTACATCAACTGTCCCATCAGTGTGCCCCTTACATCAATCGTGTCCCATCAGATGTGCCCCTTACATCAACTGTCCTCCATTCAGAGTCGCCCCTTACATCAACTGTCCCCATCAGTGTGCCCCTTACATCAACTGTCCCATCAGAGTGTCCCTTACATCATCTGTCCTCCATCAGAAGCGTTCCCCTTACATCAAACTGTCCCCATCAGAGCAGAGCCCCCCCTACACAACTGTCCCCATCAGAGTGCCCCTTACATCAAAACTGTCTCCATCAGACATGCGTCCCCTTACATCAACTGTCCTCAACAGTCAGTGTGCCCCTTACATCAACTGTCTCCATCCAGTGTGCCCCCCTTACATCATCTGTTCCCCCATCAGACCGAGCGCCCCTTTACATCAACTGTTCCCCATCAGATTGACCCCTTACATGCAACTGTCCCCATCAGAATGCCCCCGTCTACATCAACTGTCCCTCTCATCAGTGTGCCCCCCTAACATCAATCAACTGTCCCATCAACTGGTGCCCCCCTACATCAACTGTCCCCATCACTGTGCCCCCTTTACATCAACTGTCCCCATCAGTGTGCCCCTTACATCAACTGTCCCCATCACTGGTGCCCCCCTACATCAATGCCCCCTCAACTGTCCCCATCACTGTGCCCCCCCTACATCAACTGTCCCCATCAGTGTGCCCCTTACATCAACTGTCTCCCATCAAGCTGTGCCCCCCTTACATCAACTGTCCCCCAACATCAGAGTGTGCCCTCCTTACATCAGAGCGTCTTAAACATCAACTCCCCATCAGGAGTGCCCCCTTACATCAACTGTCCCCATCACAACTGTGCCCCCCCCTTACATCAACTGTCCCCATCAGAGTGCCCCCTTACATCAACTGTCCTCCCCATCAGAGTGCCCCTTACATCACCTTTCCCCATCAGAGTACCCCCCTTACATCACCTGTCCCATCAGAGTGTCCCCCATTACATCACCTGCCCCCATCAGAGTTCCCCCCCATCAGTTCTCATCGGGCCTGGTTCTCTGCTGTGGGGCGGAGAGGGTGGGGTTTCATCAGTGGGTAACAAGTTTGTCAGTTTTGTGTTTCTGGTAATAATCCGATCGTAGAGTCACGCACTTCAAGGCGCGGGACTAATCAAGATGCTTTCGCACACAGCAGTACAGATATGGAATCTCCCATTACGGGCCATTGTTGTGTCCCACTGATACCGCCGGGATAATAAACTGCGCAAATATCCGGCCCTTCGGCTTCCCACCATCACTCCTAATATTGATATCTTACCTTCCACCAAGAGTAATAAAGCCGCTCCAAGGCCCTGTCCCGCTGTGTAGCATAACTAAGGGCCGCAGTGTGTGTCGCATGACAGAGTGCGCCGAATAAAAGTCGCCGCTCCAACAGCTCCAGTTTTATTTTTACTGGCGCTTCGCACTGGATGTCAAAGAGCAACTCTGCAAACATAAATCAGAGAGCTGCTAATAACATCCCGGAGACACTGAGACCGCAAAGCTGAATTCTGATGGGCCATAAAACAAAACACCCGTGTGAGACCAGGTGCACCCGCTCAAAGCTGAACTTCCCTGACCTTGGCTTGCACACTAGATTCTGGGGAGTTGACACGGGGCCCCTTCACAATGCAATGGATGAAAATAGCTGCCCCTATTGCTGAAAGTGTTGGGGGGCCCCGCCCTCCAAATCATGTTGATTCGAGTTGTTCCAATCCCCTCCCAATCATGTGAATCAGGTGCTCCAATCCCCTCCCCAATCATGTGATTCAGGTGCTCCAATCCCCCCCCAATTCATGAGATTCAGGTGCTCCAATCCCCTCCAGAATCAGTGATTCAGGTGTTCCAATCCCCTCCAAATCATGTGATTCAGGTGTTCCAATTCCCCTCCCAATCATGTGATTCAGGTGCTCCAATCCCCCAAATCCCAATCATGTGATTCAGGTGCTCCAATCCCCTCCATATCAAGTGCGATTCAGGTACTCCAATCCCCTCCATATCAATGTGGTTCAGGTGTTCCAAAACCCTCCAAATATCATGTGATTCCAGGTGTTCCAATCCCCTCCATATCATGTGATTCAGGTACTCATCACCAATCCCCTCCATATCATGTGATTCAGGTGTTCCAATCCCCTCCATATCATGTGATTCAGGTACTCCAATCCCCCTCCATATCATGTGATTCAGGTGTTCCAATCCCCCTCCCAATCATGTGGATTCAGGTTGCTCCAATCCCCTCCCAATCATGTGAATTCAGCTGCTCCAATCCCCTCCATATCATGCGATTCAGGTGTTCCAATCCCCTCCCAATCATGTGATTCAGGTTTTCCAATCCCCTCTATAATCATGTGATTCAGGTGTTCCAATCCCCTCCATATCATGTGATTCAGGTGTTCCAATCCCCTCCATATCATGTGATGCAGGTGTTCCAATCCCCTCCATAATCATTTGATTCAGGTGTTCCAATCCCCTCCATATCATGTGATTCAGGTGTTCCAATCCCCTCCATGGACACAGGTGTATACAATCATCACCTAGGCATGTCCCCTGGAGCATAACTAAGGGCCGCAGTGTGTCGCATGACAGAGTGCGCCGAATAAAAGTCGCCGCTCAACAGGCTCCATTTTATTTTTACTGGGCGCACTGATGTCAAAGAGCAACTCCAATAAATCAGAGAGCTGCTAATAACATCCCGGAGACACTGAGACCGCAATGAATTCTGATGGGCCATAAAACAAAACACCCGTGTGACCAGGCACCGCTCAAAGCTGAACGTCCCTGACCTTGCTGCACACTAGATTCTGGGGAGTGACACGGGGCCCCTTCACAATGCAATGGATGGAAATGCTCCCACTATTGCTGAAAGTGTTGGGCCCGCCCTCCAAATCATGTGATTCAGGTGTTCCAATCCCCTCCAAATCATGTGATTCAGGTGTTCCAATCCCCTCCCAATCATGTGATTCAGGTGTTCCAATCCCCTCCAAATCATGTGATTCAGGTGTTTCCCAATCCCCTCCCAATCATGTGATTCAGGTGCTCCAATCCCCTCCCAATCATGTGATTCAGGTGTTCCCAATCCCCTCCATATCATGCGATTCAGGTACTCCAATCCCCTCCATATCATGTGGTTCAGGTGTTTCCAAAACCCTCCATATCATGTGATTCAGGTGTTCCAATCCCCCTCCATATCATGTGATTCAGGTGCTCTTCCAATCCCCTCCATATCATGTGATTCAGGTGTTCCAATCCCCTCCATATCATGTGATTCAGGTACTCCAATCCCCTCCATATCATGTGATTCAGGTGTTCCAATCCCCTCCCAATCATGTGTGATTCAGGTGCTCCAATCCCCTCCCAATCATGTGATTCAGCTGCTCCAATCCCCTCCATATCATGCGATTCAGGTGTTCAATCCCCTCCCAATCATTGTGATTCAGGTGTTCCAATTCCCCTCTATATCATGGTGATTCAGGTGTTCCAATCCCCTCCATATCATGTGATTCAGGTGTTCCAATCCCCTCCATATCATGTGATGCAGGTGTTCCAATCCCCTCCATATCATGTGATTCAGGTGTTCCAATCCCTCCAAATCATGTGATTCCAATCCCCCCCATATCATGTGATTCAGGTGTTCCAATCCCCTCCATGGACACAGGTGTATACAATCATCACCTAGGCATGCATACTGCTCCAATCTACAAACATTGGGGAAAGAACAGGTGGATCTAATGTTACTGAGGGGTTTATTGCTGTTTGGGGGAATTATTGTTGCTGGGGGTCTATTGTTGCTGGCAGAATTATTTCTTACTGAGGGATCTATTGTTGCTGGGAATCGATTGTTGCTGGGGGGGTCTATGATTGCTGGCTACAGGGGATCTATTTTACTGCTTTTTCTTGTTAACATTAAAAAATTCCATACAAATTACTTCGTAACACAAAATGATATTTAGTTCTGTATTCTCTAACAGAAGTGGGACTGGGGGGTGTGGACACGGGGTGGAACCACAGGATGGTGCTCAGAGGTGGGACTGGGGGGTGGGGCCAGGGTGGAACCACAGGATGGTGCTCAGAGGTGGGACTGGGGGGTGGGCAGGGGGTGGAACCACAGGATGGTGCTCAGAGGTGGGACTGGGGGGTGGGCCACGAGGTGGAACCCACAGGATGGTGCTCAGAGGTGGGACTACTGGGGGGTGGGCAAGGGGGTGGAACCACAGGATGGTGCTCAGAGGTGGGACTGGGGGGTGGGCAAGGGGGGAACCACAGGATGGTGCTCAGAGGTGGGACTGGGGGGTGGGCAAAGGGGGTGGAACCACAGGATGGTGCTCAGAGGTGGGTAAGGGGTGTAGACAAGGGGTGACCCGGAAGCAGGGAGTACCCGCCCCTTATTATCTGTCAGAAAAGAAGCCCTGACAATCAGTTAATTCATTGCTTTTTTCCATGCATTTATTTATATTTCTTTCCATATTTCCATGCGTGCCAAGCTGACCAGGTGAAACGACTAGAGGGTTGATATAGGGCGGGGGTCTCCAAACTCTTCAGACCAAGGGCCAGTTTACTGTGCTTCAGACTTTAGGAGGGCTGGGTTGTGACCAATAGGGGTAGAAAAATGTCCCGGGCCCAGCACGAGTGAAAATAAACATGGCCTCAGGGTTGGTGATCAGTAGAAGGAAGAGCAGTGACCCATCATTGGTGTCAGTGGGGAGAAATAGTGCCCCATCATTGGTGTCAGTGGGAGGAATAGTGCTCCATCATTGGTGTCAGTGGGAGGAATAGTGCCCCATCTTTGGTGTCAGTGGGGGGAATAGTGCCCCATCATTGGTGTCAGTGAGAGGAATAGTGCCCCATCATTGGTGTCAGTGGGAGGAATAGTGTCCCATCATTGGTGTCAGTGGGAGGAATAGTGCCCCATCATTGGTGTCAGTGGGAGGAATAGTGCTCCATCATTGGTGTCAGTGAGAGGAATAGTGCCCCATCATTGGTGTCAGTGGGAGGAATAGTGCTCCATCATTGGTGTCAGTGGGAGGAATAGTGCCCATCATTGGTGTCAGTGGGGGGAATAGTGCCCCATCATTGGTATCAGTGGGAGGAATATTAGTGTCCCATCATTGGTATCAGTGGGAGGAATAGTGCCCCATCATTGGTGTCAGTGGGAGGAATAGTGCCCCATCATTGGTATCAGTGGGAGGAATAGTGCCCCATCATTGGTGTCAGTGGGAGGAATAGTGCCCCATCATTGGTGTCAGTGGGAGGAATAGTGCCCCATCATTGGTGTGTCAGTGGGAGGAATAGTGCCCCATCATTGGTGTCAGTGGGGGAGGAATAGTGCCCCATCATTGGTGTCAGTGGGAGGAATAGTGCCCCATCATTGGTGTCAGTGGGAGGAATAGTGCCCCATCATTGGTATCAGTGGGAGGAATAGTGCCCCATCAATTGGTGTCAGTGGGAGGAATAGTGCCCCATCATTGGTGTCAGTGGGAGGAATAGTGTCCCATCATTGGTATCAGTGGGAGGAATAGTGTCCCATCATTGGTATCAGTGGGAGGAATAGTGTCCCATCATTGGTGTCAGTGGGAGGAATAGTGTCCCATCATTGGTGTCAGTGAGAGGAATAGTGCCCCCATCATTGGTGTCAGTGGGGGGGAATAGTGCCCCATCATTGGTGTCAGTGGGAGGAATAGTGCCCCATCATTGGTGTCAGTGGGAGGAATAGTGTCCCATCATTGGTGTCAGTGGGAGGAATAGTGTCCCATCATTGGTGTCAGTGAGAGGAATAGTGTCCCATCATTGGTATCAGTGGGAGGAATAGTGCCCCATCATTGGTGTCAGTGGGGAGGAATAGTGTCCCATCATTGGTGTCAGTGAGAGGAATAGTGTCCCATCATTGGTGTCAGTGGGAGGAATAGTGCCCCATCATTGGTGTAAGTGTGAGAGATAGCAAGGGAAAATGTCACCAGCATACCGAGGATCACCAATATGGGTCCAAAAGTTTTAATGAACAATCACAAAGTTACAGCAAGGCAAAGTTTCGGAGTCTCGCAGGACCCCTTCATGAGGCAGGTCACCTGTGTTGAGGGGGTCTCTGTCTCTCTGGGGGGATGCCTGTGATGAAACCGTAATAAAGGACCCAGCATTGGAAGTAGAGGGCCCTGGGTCTGGTTGAAAGGTCTCCAGAACCAATGGAAAGGGCCCAGCAATGGGAGTAGAGGGCCCTGGACCTGGTGGAAAGGTCTCCAGAACCAGTGGAAAGCACCCTGGGACCAATGGAAAAGCCCTGAGCAGGGGGGTCAGGGTGGCCCTTCATGATTTTTTGCACTGGGGCCCTGAAGGTTCTAGTTGCACCTCTGGGAACGTACAACACAATGAAGCGTTTTGCAATGAAGGCTGAAGAGCCCAGAGGCACTACAGTGGCTTTTCCTTGAGGCAACCCTCGTAAAAAGAGTCACTCCTGAGTGTTCGGGAAGAAAATGCAACCGTCTCCGACACGTGACCTTGTCATGAATATAAAGCGATGGTCACATGTCCAGGCGGCGGACTGTGTGATGTGCGTCCTCTACGACACGTGTGATCTCCCATCTCTGATGTCCTGTCTCTGATCTCCTGTCTCTGATCTCCTGTCTCTGATCTCCTCCGTGTCTCTCCATCTTCGGGAATGCCGGTTTCATTATCTGCAGTCACACTTCTCCTTCGTAGGTGGAATTAATAGTCCCGTCATATTTTAATAACATTAGTTCCAAAATAATTAGATATTACATTTGCGGTTATTCGTAACATGGAGGTAATCTGCCAGAGCTAATTACATCTTCACCTCATCGCCGTGTTTGCCAACTTCCTTCGCGGCGGCGCCGAGAAACAATAAAAAAAAAAAGTAACTGTTGGAGGAGCAGAGAATGCGGAGAGAAGGACGGACCATCCGTCTGCTGCAGGCACAGCGGGAGGCCGCAGGCTGTGCGTTCTACGCCGGCACTCAAGGTCAGTATGGACGCATGTCACCGAACTGAGAGATGTGCCGAGGATGGCGAGTCTAATGCAGAACGGAATGGAAAGGAGAGCAGCCTGACTAATACTTGTAGTACTTTATTATTACTTCTTCCTGAAATACTCTGCGCTGCTGGAGGACTCCGCCCTTCCTCTATAACTCTCCTCTCCTGAAATACTCTGCTCTGCTGGAGGACTCCTCTCCTTCCTCTATAACTCTCCTCTCCTGAAATACTCTGCACTGCTGGAGGACTCCGCTCCTTCCTATAACTCCTCTCCTGAAATACTCTGCTCTGCTGGAGGACTCCTCTCCTTCCTCTATAACTCCTCTCCTGAAATACTCTGCAAGGACTCCGCTCCTTCCTCTAAAACTCTCTCTCTCCTGAAATACTCTGCACTGCTGGAGGACTCCGCTCCTTCCTCTATAACTCCTCTCCTGAAATACTCTGCGCTGCTGGAGGACTCCTCTCCTTCCTCTATAACTCTCCTCTCCTGAAATACTCTGCTCTGCTGGAGGACTCCGCTCCTTCCTCTATAACTCCTCTCTCTGAAATACTCTGCTCTGCTGGAGGACTCCTCTCCTTCCTCTATAACTCTCCTCTCCTGAAATACTCTGCACTGCTGGAGGACTCCTCTCCTTCCTCTATAACTCTCCTCTCCTGAAATACTCTGCGCTGCTGGAGGACTCCTCTCCTTCCTCTATAACTCCTCTCCTGAAATACTCTGCGCTGCTGGAGGACTCCTCTCCTTCCTCTATAACTCCTCTCCTGAAATACTCTGCGCTGCTGGAGGACTCCGCTCCTTCCTTCCTCTATAACTCCTCTCCTGAAATACTCTGCTCTGCTGGAGGACTCCGCTCCTTCCTCTATAACTCTCCTCTCCTGAAATACTCTGCACTGCTGGAGGACTCCGCTCCTTCCTCTATAACTCTCCTCTCCTGAAATACTCTGCACTGCTGGAGGACTCCGCTCCTTCCTCTATAACTCCTCTCCCTGAAATACTCTGCACTGCTGGAGGACTCCTCTCCTTCCTCTATAACTCCTCTCCTGAAATACTCTGCTCTGCTGGAGGACTCCGCTCCTTCCTCTATAACTCCTCTCCTGAAATACTCTGCACTGCTGGAGGACTCCGCTCCTTCCTCTATAACTCTCCTCTCCTGAAATACTCTGCTCTGCTGGAGGACTCCTCTCCTTCCTCTATAACTCTCCTCTCCTGAAATACTCTGCACTGCTGGAGGACTCCTCTCCTTCCTCTATAAAAACTCTCCTGAAATACTCTGCGCTGCTGGAGGACTCCTCTCCTTCCTCTATAACTCTCTCTCTCCTGAAATACTCTGCGCTGCTGGAGGACTCCTCTCCTTCCTCTATAACTCTCCTCTCCTGAAATACTCTGCACTGCTGGAGGACTCCTCTCCTTCCTCTATAACTCCTCTCCTGAAATACTCTGCACTGCTGGAGGACTCCTCTCCTTCCTCTATAACTCTCCTCTCCTGAAATACTCTGCGCTGCTGGAGGACTCCTCTCCTTCCTCTATAACTCTCTCCTGAAATACTCTGCTCTGCTGGAGGACTCCGCTCCTTCCTCTATAACTCCCTCTCCTGAAATACTCTGCACTGCTGGAGGACTCCGCTCCTTCCTCTATAACTCTCCTCTCCTGAAATACTCTGCTCTGCTGGAGGACTCCGCTCCTTCC